AAAAAAAGGAAAAAAAGGAAAAAAAGGAAAAAAAGGAAAAAAAGGAAAAAAAGGAAAAAAAGGAAAAAAAGGAAAAAAAGGAAAAAAAGGAAAAAGGAGTTTTAAATATCCATCTTCCAGAATCAACATACTTACCCCCTGTTTCATGATATCATTGGCATGGTTTGCAACTTCTATGACAACAGCCAGAGCATCTGAAGTATGAAGAAAATGCTTTTGTTAGGCAGGCTAGTTGGCACTGGTATTACAGAGTGCGCAGGTACAATATTCCCCTTCACATTCTGCCAGGATTCAAGAACGTGACCTAATATTCACTGCACTCAGAACGCACTTCCCATAAATTCCAGAGACTTTGGATCACAGTTTGATTGCTGCACCCTATTTTAYTCAGCCAGAAGTCATGGTATCATTAATTTCTTGTAGCTAACTAAAAGAATCCACTAGCAAAAATAAGTTTTAAGTTTATCTTGTATAAAGAATCTCTTAAATTTCAATTTCTCTAAGCACAAGTAAAAAGTTAACAAGACTTCAACTGGAAGTGTGCAGAGATTAATTAAGTTTTTTCCAACTTAGACATTTGCCACCAGTAACTAGAAATGGACTTTAAATACTAGAACAATTATCCAAATCTTCATTATATTTCTCTGCCTTTACTTTTGATGCTTTCAAGATAGCAGTAAAAAGTTCAATTTTATAAATTTCAAGCATTTTATCCAGTAGGAAAAAAATCTGGAAGTGAAGAGTTATCAAAGACACCAGAAGGGATTTTATTAATTTGGAGCACTCAGTAAGTAGCAACTCGATAGAAAAATAAGMTTAGAAAAACATGCTGTGAGCAGTTACATAAAAAGTGGGTAAGTTACTGAATAGTGAGTCTGTATATGACACAGCACCCATCTGAGCATTTTATCCAAGAACCTGTAATTCACTTGGGCAGAAAAAAGCCTCACTTAACTGAAAGCCAGCACAACTACTCTGACAAAAAGATGTCTCTACAGCCCTTAGCACTTTCTGAACAACTGAAGTGCAGTCAAGCACTCCAACTAAAGGAACTACCTTTGCTTCTAAGCAATCAGAAAAGCCTTCCAAGACAAAACCTTTGTGAACTGGAAGGTTCAGAGAGCCATGGGGCCATGTAAGAACCTGGACACAGACATGAACGGGGGCCTACTAGGTCAATCTAAGGCAAACTTTTTGTTCAAGACTTTCATAAAGATAGAGCAAAGCAAGTACAGAAGTCGAGCAGTTAAAAGGGAGARAACATATTAAATGTGACCAAATCTAAGCCTAGAGATAGATGTCATGTTATCAACAGCATGATGAAAGTTTTTTGGTGGTCCTCTGATTAGGAATGTTGGAGCTGCTCCAGCAAAACACTTTCCAGCTCCCATCAGGTCAGAAGAACATGAAATTGAGGGAAGTTTTAGACAAATTCGCCAGGACAGGAATGARTGCCTGGATATTTTGCTGTACTCTCCTTCTTATCGGGTACTACATGTATGAAAAACTTAAACTTTTACTCATTGACTTCAAAAAAGATTTAAGAAAGTTGCAGGAAATTTGATGGTTCTTGCAGGGAAAGTTCAAAGATCATAGGCTTACTTATAGAGCCAAGCCTCTAATCCAAAACTAAACAACAAYGTAGAATAATTCACAGGGTCAAAAGTTCATAAACAAGCAGATTTTTTGAAAAGAAAAACATTCCACCTCTCTCACCACTTAGCTAGAATCACGTATTTAAATGAAGCTCCCCAAGAAAGTTTGGTTTTGTTTTTTTTTTTGAAAATACTAATCATATTACCAAACCTAGGCCTTGTTTTTCGCCCCCATGAACTAAATGACAAAGCAAACAAAATCAGAAGGAAGCCAAGCTTAATTATCACCCGAAAGATCTTGGTAAGTAAAGATTAGAGCTCAAGAGCATGGAAAGATAGGCATTTCTTTCAAGTTACTTCTTTTTTAAATGATAGATTATTTAATGGGCAGTACAACTATCAGTTTATTTGTGGCCACACTCAATGCAAGTGAAACTTTTCTGACTCCAAAAAATGTCAACACTGAAAACATTTTGTGCTTATCCATAATATATTMAAAGAATTGCATATGTCCAAGTATCTTAAAATGGAAACATCCACTTGATGGTGCCGAACTTGGTTTAGCACATTGAATGCTGGCATTGAGTGCAGCCCAGACAGCTCTATCTGTGCAGCTCTCCTGACGATAAGGGAGGAGACACAAATTGCACAAATGCCACAGAGACAGTCACTGAAGTGACTCAACTCAGTGCCAGGGTCGTGCAAATGCAATGGAAACACGGCCTGGGAGCAGGGCCGGGAGCAGGGCCATCCCGCTCAAATCTGCATGACCCCAATCCCACAACAGGACTCCCTGTTGTCCCTCCCTCCTCCTCTCCAGCCATTCCTTCTCATTCCCTCTGATTGCTTTATTCTTCTAACTGCTATTTTTCTGAAACACAAATTTGGAATCCTTCAGTGCTGCTCTTGAGAAACTTAGAACTAACCAGAAAACATTTCTGCTTATTRCTACTTTTTCTTGGTAAGTACTTAAAATATAGAAGCATTTTTTATATTTAGGTAGCCTTTTTTTTAATCTAAAAAGACACTTACCTTGAGTATCCCTATAGTCTGCAGATTCTTCTAAAAGATTCTTTAAGTAATCTGCATAAAAGAAGAAAATATAAATTGTAAAAGAACTAAACAGCACTAAAGAAGTAAAATGAATTTTTTTCATGGAAATTTGTTTTTCAGTTTTATGCAATAAATGTCTACAATTTCATCTTTCAACTCTGTCAAAAGTAATATCATAAGGGAAACAATAAAAGTACACAATGCTACCTTGCTGGGAAAAAATAAGGTTACAGAAACAGTGACCTTCGCCAGAGGTAAATGATAGATTGCATGTAGTATTCCAGAACAAAACAAGCAGGTGAAAGAGGACAATTACATACACACAATCCTTTACATTTAAGCTGACACCCACACACAAAAATCYACATCATAAATATTATCTAGTTTCATCTTTGCACCTAGTTTGTGTATTAAATCTGAGAAAAAAAAAAACTCTGAATATTACTACGCTGAATGTTTTTCAAATTAAAAGTTTTTATACTCCTGCTTTCATCAAAAAGGAGCTTTTGGCTTCTGTTACAAATCCAGCGCCCAACCACCAGATGGCACCATCTATTCACTCAAGTCCCCCTTGGGGACTTGACTCTAGTTTACTTGACCAAAATTAACCCCACATGTCCGACTATCAAAAAATCATCCCTCTAGACACTCCATTTCTTGGTTCAGTRTCTAGATCACCAAAAAGCACGGTGTCCTATCAGAGATACGCRACCTGATCAATACATCAGCCAGGTATTCTCTACAGAGCACAACTCGGAATTAGTCAAGTTTCACGGAAACCCAACCAGAAGCTTTCAGAGAAATGTGTGTTACAACGGTACCACCAAATGCCAATTCCTACCTGCCTTTCAAGTGAGTGAACATACCYGGATTCTGACAGACGCACTAAAACTAATCATACAGGCTCTGTGATCTAGCAAATGTTCACTCTTAGCTTAGCAGTCATACAAGTTTCACGTAGGAGTAAAATAATTCAACTCCCATATGCTTGCCCTACCCAGATGCACCCTTTGCTCGAGGAGGATCTGGAGCCAAATGTTCCTGCCTTCCCYGGGCGTCCTGCTTCGCACGTGCCCCTCCGAGAGCACTCGCTGCGCGGTAATGTCTTCCTTATGCGGAAAAACAGCTATCAAATGTGTTTCTGTGGTAAAAGTGCTATGAAGGGTGAGAACTCTTGTCAGCTAATCAACATTTTGAGGAGAAAAGAACCACAGGAAAACATATTTGGCTTTTTTTTTTTTTTTTTTTTTAATGTTTTGGCAAAGATCTGAGGTAAGATCCTGAGGAGAAAAGGATAAGGAGCAGGTTAGGGTGAAGGAAAAGGGACCTGGTGGGGAGCCCTACAGGGAAGAGGGAGGGACGGTGAGGAGCAACTTGGCAATCTGGGCTACAAGAACTGCTGCGCCTGCAGTTCTGTCGGATCCTAACCCGGCACCGCCCCGTGCGTGATCTTCCAGCAAGTCTGACACGGMACCAAAACCTTTGCAGCTTCTGAATTATTTCATCACTTACATCCCTCATCCCTTTGCTGCAGCTGCTACCAGACATTTGAGTGCACTATTGACACGGCCACAGTCTCCGGTACAAGACAACTCCACCTTGGGTTATGCTGGTAAGAAATTCATTTATGACAAAAATCAGCAAGAAGCCTTTTAAAGGGAACTGAGAAGGGCTCACACTGTTTCTAACTTGAGCTGAAAACCCTCACTTTGCTTTCACCTGCAGGACCCTATTTCACAAACACACTTTAAGAATATCAGACCGAAGCTGCCCTTCCTTGCCCTACTGCCTAGGCAAAGCCTACTTGGGACTTCATCGTAAAGCCAACAAGTCAGAGCTTTACAATTCCAAGTCCATATTCACCTTGGCCAGCACAAAGCGGGGAATCGCCAGGACAAAAACGTGTGTCTGCAGCTCATATAGAAAAGCTCCATCTCCTCAAGGTTGCCAACCATTGACTCATTTCTCTATAGACTGAGAGCAAGGGGTAAAGGGATATAACTTATTAATCTCCAAATGGGCTGCTGGCACGCTAAGCAACTGTTCCTGGTAGATGGAGACATCTAATTTAATATCCAAAATAACTGCACTGGCAGCATAAAATCAGAGACCAAATGTGGGAACTAATTATTTCCTGGCATATTTATGGCACATTCCCCAAAACAATGACACTTTACACTTTATCTTTACAGACAAGAATAACACTGCAGTGAAATTYAGCAAAAACATTCCCAGGTAAAACTAGCACAGAAATTAAGTATCAAGGTGAAACAGTATCTGTTGTATTTGCCAAATTTCTTTGTCCTCTGAAATGTAGCTAATTATTAAGCCTTTTTACTAAAATATTAAGACCTGTAAGTCATTTCTAGGTGAACCACTGGGTTCTCAGAGGACAAAAACAGTGAGCAGTCAAGAAATTTTGATTAGAAAGTTTATATATAGAACAGTGACAGAAAGCCTTCGTATTTCTCCTCTTTCCCTACTGCCTGACCTAAGGGTAGCAAATGAGGAAAAAGCAAACAACAACAACAACAATAACAACAAAAAACACACAAAAATACGCATATGTCAATAGTTCTCCAATAAAATAAATAAAATAATACAAACCCAATAATGTTATCATGCTGTTAGCACTGCATTTTCCTTTTGTTGATATATACAGAAATCAGATCAACCTTATGTCGGGGACAAACCTGACAGTCTGCTACCTTTTCAGCCTGCAGGACCCTGTCTCCTTTACTGTAATACAGATTCAAAGGATGATCCTGGGATACAGAGAGGTACAACAGATGTAACACTAAAACCRAGGGTGAGATTGAGCAAGGAACTTACAGAGAGATGTGAAAAACAAGGGCCACTTGGATGAAAGAGCTGCCGCCTGCGTAGGCGCCCGCGCACGGCCGGCTGCATGCGGGGAAGCGACAGCAGCTTCCCGGCTGCATGAGAGCCAAGGAACTTGCCCACATATCACCAAAAAGAAACAGGTCATGCCAGCATAACAAAYGCAAATCTTATCAGCTCCTCTGCATAACCATAGAAAAGTCAGGAAAAATCCCAGGATAGCCAGTGCAATTCCAGCAGCGCAGTGAGTGACCGTGCAAGCAGGATGCATCCAGGCAGGCACCGGCTACCCCGCAGCACCAGTGCATGCAAGGTGTTTCTGGAGGGACAAAAGCCTCACACGACCAGATGGAGGCGTTTTTCCCCCCCTTCCCGCTCCTATATAAAACAGTCACATTCCTGTCCAAGCTCTTACTCCTTATCTTCAAGTTAGACCTTTAACATACTTCCAAAAAGGCAGGCTTAGCTATTCAAATCCACAGTTCTGCCAGGCATCCGAAACCACGACAAAACCCAGCCCATGAGCACAGGACGACTATAAAACYCCTCAGAGCGAGGTCTCCTTGCACGCTGCTTCCTCCTCCCAGCAGCCAGGGATTCTCCTCCCCCTCGGGGCCTCGTGGGAGCCCCATCCCTGTCCCGTTTCCGTGCTTTGGGCCTGCGGCCTGCAGGCGGCCCGCCAGCCACCTGCGGCCTGCAGGCGGCCCGCCAGCCACCCGGCACGTGCTGCAAGGGGCAGAGGGACGGGTAGGCCAAGCGGCAGCCCGGGCTACCAAGGGGAGGCTCTGCACGCTCATTCCCGAGCCCACCTGCCCCTGCTTTTGCCTGTGCAGGAGGAACGAGGCTGCAGAGCAGCAGGCAACATGCACAAAGCCGTCCCACCAGGACACAGCATCCAAACAGGCAGAATCCCCTGCTGACTTGGGCCCCGCAGCTTCATTTCTGGGGTGAYTTTCGCTCTTCTGCTCTGATTCCTCCTGCCTTTCCCCCAGGCTCCGACGTCGGCGGCTGCTGCATCACTGCAAGTYGTGCCCATTCCCGTCTGGCTCCTGTACCTGCCGTCTGCCCCCCTGCAGGAGCAGATCCGCACGTTTGCCGTCTGCTCGGCGGGTCTGCAGCGCCAGCGCGCAGGACGACGACGCGACGGCGCACGGACACGCAGGAGGGCAACAAGCAGTCACGCCACGCGCGCGGGTATGGAAGAGCAGGAATAGGAAGGGGCAGCCTAAGCTCAGCAGTGTGAATAGGAAACAATCACAAACTGTTCAGCAGAATCAAATTCATTGTCTGATTTCTGCTATTCCTCCCACAGAAGAACAAAAATTTCTGCTTCCAAGTCAGTATTTGGAGCAATACAACTCATGTCAGTGGCCGTGTGTATCTGCAGGATGCCCCATATTTCCAGGGAGCCACAGTCTGCACAACTGGGGATCCCTACAGAAATGCTCCTGTCCACAAACTGGGGTGCTCACTTGTGCAATCACCTGCCCAAAACACCCCGTCCCAGCCACACTCACAGGCAATGGCAACAAGGAATTCAGCTTCACAGTTTTGTCAGTGTCGTTCATCTCCAGCAGCTCTCACTTTGTTCTATCACTATAAACATATATGTAGCTTACACATATATACTACACATCGAGTTGCMTATCTTTATGTGTGCATATGTACATGTGTGTGCACACATACATATACATCTGTATTTTGATAAAGGTATTTGCTCCATCCTGTCCAACTCTTTTAAGTGAAAATCTTCAAAGCTTCTCCATTAATTTTTTTATTTAATACCATACCCTAATCAGTACCCCTTTTAGGCAAAACAAGCCTCAAATGTCTTTTTATAGTTTTACTTTATCAATTATGAGACAAAAGAAAGTAGACTATTTAATAAGAGCTTTTTGCCCTTTTCCCCATCTGTGACTTTAATGAAATGATTAAAATGAAAATAATCAACTTGAATAAGTTATTGACTTCTACGTACCACTTCAGTCTACCATTTGCCACGGCATCACTAGTATAAACACTTGCTGGGGAAATGCCAGCAAACTGCTCTATAACCAAAGAAAGGTCACAGAGCATTTTATTTTGCAGATCCTACATAAACAGAGGCTATTTTTAAATTGCTCACGGAGAAGCAACGGCTTTCAAAAACACTCTTAAGTATTTSCAGTTCCTTACAGGAGCCATCCCCTTCTTACAACAAACACATCACAAAAGCCTTCACAAAGGCAGCCTGTATAATTGTCCTCCTTTTATGGAGGAGAAAACACTGCTCAAGGTCTGCTCAAGGTCAGTCAAACACAGTGCCAGAGCATGCAGGGGAACCCAGCTCTCCTAGGCCTGAGCCAGCTCTTCAGCTTAAGATAGGCTGTAACCCCCAGAACAAGCCTTAAGCACTTTCTGAAACTTAAACTGAAAAGGCTTGTTTTGCTTTTAAAAGAGAGAAGATTTTGGATACAAAACACCTGGGTGGGGAGGCAGGATAAGATACTTTCAAAAAAGGCTTGTAAGATTTGCACACACGTCTCATTCTCTTCTCCTAGCTCCAATTTTCCATGCTACTTTTTTTTTTCCCTTCTGAATAAAAAACAAAACACAAAACAAAACACAAAAGCTTTCCAACCCTTCAACTAAATTACTGTCTTCAGTTACCACAAAAACAAAAAAATCATCCCAGGTCTCATGTTTGCAAAGCACAGCTGAATGCACCCAGCAGAGAACAAACCACTGTGCAAACCCTCTGTGCATTTTATTGCAATCAGCGTTAACAAAGAAAACCTCTCAAATCATGTCATTTAAAAAATACAGGTGTGTCTGAAGTCAGATAAATACGCATGGGAACCACTGCCTGAAAACACATTTCCTGGGACATGTGAAAAGTGGCTTCTTAAGCCTGTAGAAGAGCTTGACTGTACCTGTCAAAAGGAGCCTGTACTGGGGAATCCTCTGAACGGGCTTGAGCAAATAGTGCTTGAGCGCGAGACTAGCACAGCGAGGGCTCATCTGAAAGAAACACCCAAAACATAAACACCAGTCCTGTTGTAGTCAAGGGTCCAGCAAAGAACACACACCTTTCAACAACTACCAATGACATCAAGTAAGCTTTTTAAGACAAAGATGGGATCATCTTGCCCTGGTGGGGCAACACCAGGGGCAAAGACTCATCTGTAATTACTATGACTGTCCATTAGGCAGAAGGCTCCAAAAATTGTAATTATCTTGAGTTTGCAATCAAAATAATCAGAAACACCAGTCTTTGAAATGACCTCTTTTCCTCTTCCTATCTTTCCTGACTCTGTTGCTCAACGCCTTCCTCTGTCTACTGTAAATAGCCTCTCTAACCACTTGTAAACAAACAGAGCAGGCATTACCCAAGGGGAAGCCTGTGTGGTGTGATATGAGGTCAGCTCATTTTGTCAGCTATCAGCTACTTCATTTCTCGTGGTTAAATGACTGTGTCTTTGCTAAAAATAAAGTTATTAGTGCTGATTTGAGCATCTTGTGCATTTTGTGTCATTTTCAACAATTCCTTTAACTCCAACATAATCTCTGCAGGGTGACAGGAAACTCTCCTAGTATGATAAAAACATTTGTGTGGATGGCATTTAGGAGGTTTGCACCTCTTTGCCATTTGGGTGAGGGGGTTTAAATTAATATTTGGCAATGTTCTCAGGGATGTAACATTCATATAATTGTTGCATGGGCTGATTAAGAAGACTTCTGGAAGTTTGCAAATCAGAAAAGTCACGTTCCTATCTTTCCAAATGAAAYGAAATAGAAGTCTTTAGAGACAGCCACTGCCTAATGATGGGTAGTGAAGTCAATCTGGTTTAAATAAGACATTAATCGGTACACAGTAGAATCAGGAGGAGGGGGAAAAAAACATTAAAAGAAACAGCTAGTGATCCTGTCAATGTTTTTAATATATTTTGTGACAAGTGCTGAATTTTCTGAAAAATCAAGATCCTTTAACATATCTCTCAATGACTGTCAAAATCACAAATTACTTTAGAAAGTCTGAATTTACTTCATTCCACTTCCATCCCTCTAGGTTCCAAAAGAGGACTTTGCAGCAAAAAAAGAATAAATAATTTGGAGGATGGTTTCTTAAACCTTATGAGGGCCTCTTAAACCGCTTAGGTTCACAAGTTTTGAAAACTCACAAAATCTTAAAAAAAAAGTCTACAGTACCTCAAAGTCTTTCACCACTGAAGCAAAACCTGCATTCTTCTTACATTGTTCATCTAACAGTGCCACATTTTTATCAAATTCTTTGATGTAAGTTGAGTACATCTTTAAGTAGGGACCTTTCTTTACAAATATATCAGCAATTCTTTGATGGTCAAGCCTAGAAACAAGAACAGAGCAATTAAAAAGATGGCAAAAGACCTTACACATCAGTCTTAGAACAGATCACTGATCTTTTCACATTAAGATGATCCAGTTCATGTTCTAAACAGAAAAAAAAATGTGCTAGATAGGCACTTAGCTTAATAACTACTCCAAAAAACAGAGTAGTTGCTGAGCACTAGGCACAGAGCAACACCTTGACAGCCTAGTCTATAGTTAGATCACAACAATTCTATGCACAGTCTAAGAACACCTTATACACAAGCTGGCCTCCTCAGGGAAGGATGTTTAAAGTTCAAGGTGCAGCCTTTGCTCCGTAGTAGGAAGGATCTGATTACAGTCTTAATTCTCTTCAGTGCCTTGATGAGCCTACTTTGGGAACTGAATTTGATATAGCCACCCTTTTAAATTGAAAATGGATTTTAACAGGATCATGGCTCTGTTTGGTTAGTAGATATCAACTATCTATCTTTAAAATAYAAACTGACCTTCACAGTTCCTCAATGCTCCAATAAAACTGATCCACTTACTATTTTGCCCAGCCACACGTGTAAGAATCAGAAATTTAGACTGAAACTAAAATTTTAGACAAAAAAKGGCAGTTGCTCAAAAGATGTTTACATGGCTTCTGGTTCCTTTTGGATTAACCAAAATGCCAAACAAATCATCTAAATGGAAATTTACCTCCTATATCCTAGGCTTACAGTTTATCATTTACAAAGGCACACGGAGGCAAACAAACAAGGGYAGAACCACGGCCATGGGGAGCCCCGCAAGCCCCTCAGATAAGTTCTGACACCATCAAAGGGAGTGCATTGCTCAGTGATAGTCACCAGTGAGACAACCGCTCTTCCAGTTCCCTCAGGAGGTCCCGATTGAGCTCATACAGCTGAGGTAGGTAGTACAGGATCTGATTCAGGATTCTGTCCTCAATCACCGGCTTTCCAAGCTGCCTGGAGGCATGTGCCACTGCGTCCCGGAAATCCTGTCGGAGCACAAAGAGGAYAGGAGACCCCTGAGAGAAGGGCCTTCAAAGCAGCAGCCCTTGCTTTGTGGACAGCCCCCGCGCTGGTCCCTGCTACTGAAGGCAAAGGGGGGACCATCTGTGTTATGTTTCTGTGCAGCTTTAACGTGCTCTCCGAGGACACCCTTAATCCCTTCGTTTCACACTGGACCTTTATGCTGCTCTGTACACTAGATGGAAGCTGTTGATTATTTTTATAACGCACCCATAAAACTGTGCTGATACAAAACAGAAGGAAACTACAGGGAAAAAAAAAGTATTTAATATCTGCAAAGCTGCTGTGGGCCTTCAGCATCTTCCTGTTAAGCCCTGAAATAACAAGCAACAATGTCACTCCAGCTGATACAACCATAACACATTTTAAAATTGTACTAGTTTTGGTAAATCAGCTACTGATACCCTTTAGGAAGTTGCACCTCTCAGATAAAATAATGTAGTGTCACAAGAAGTTCTAATCAGCAGCTCTTCTATACCCTGGGAAATTAATATCTAACAAAAAGATATCGTACCAACACATGGGAATCAGGAGATTTTAAATAYTAAAGATAATCCCAAAATAACCTTGGCACCTTCAAAGCATTTACAGGGAATAGACAGCCCAGATCACTTGTCCCTGAAAAGGAGCTTATTATAGTATTTTTAAGCTTTTACTTGCTCTCAACAGGACAGATATCAGGCTTGATGATCCTCTTAAAACAACTGAGAATTAAAATCTTGGCCCTATATAAGTCAGTTTGACCAGGATTGTACCCATAATGAGGGTTTGCATCTACTAACAGAAGCATTTTCCCTGATCACAGGCAAACTAATAAAAGTCATCAGTTCAGTATTTCACATGAAAAATTAATCAAGTATATAACAGCCTAAACTGACAAAAATGAAAATCCAAGTTATGATGAGGTGGTTATAATGCTGTCACTTGAATTCAAAAGATGGGGAAGAAAGACAACCGGTAACAGCTCTTTTTGACCTGTGGTCTACTGAAACCTGACAGTCCACAGACAATCTGGAGGTGGCCCTAAAAGTGTGAGCAGATGACACATGTTCCCAGGTACTACAGTAAGTTACATCTTAAATGCACATGGATTCCACATCCRCCTTTGGAAACGTGAAGGGTCCTCTCGTAATTAAAGCACATGCTAATCACCTCACAGAGGGGCCCCCGAATCTCCCCACCTCCCACAGGTCCCAGGGGCCGCCTCGACACTTTGGAGCAGCATCTGGCACCGCTCAGGACCTGTCAGACCCGAGTCTCAGCTTGGGCCCGTGCTCTGCTCTCATCACATCGGTTCTCGGCCACGGCGAGCTCGCTCCGTGACCCTCCAGGTCACAGGGGCTGTGGCTGGGCAGAGCCCTGACAAGAAACTCAAAGCAGATACTGGTAATGGAGGGCAAGGAGGGGAAGGCTCCGAATGAAGTGCAGTGGAGTTAAAAAACAGATGGTGCCATTCATATGGAAATGCTCTGTTTTACATCCCCTGCACAGACTAGTKACACATAGGTTAGCTACCAGCTGCATCTTCTGCATTTTCCTGGCCCTAGGGCATTGCTTAACACCCAAATGATGCAGGACTGACAATGGCTGAAGCTCAGATGAGGCTTTTTATTGAGCCTCATGCAAAATTCATCTTCAAATTACCATAGCATTCCCCCCTAGTCCCCAGAATCGCCCTTGCACAAAACATGCTCTGTACTTTGCCGTGAGACGAAGTAATAATTTTAATTGACTGCTATAAGGCTGCTTGCAGACTGAAAAKAAAAGCAGTTTTGTCTATAGCATAATGAAACCAGGCCTTCCCCTGACCAAACAAACAGAGGGCAGGGAGTCAGGTTTAAGCACCAGCAGATAAGACAGGAATGTCATTTGTGGCTAAGAGCACTGAACTAACTTCTCCATACTGCACCCAAAGGGATTTCCAAACACAGGGAATTCCGTTTCCCTGTGGCCTGATGCGAAGGGCATCAGCTTCAGGCCACGCCAGGCCTGGTCTCCAAAAGAAGGGGCCAAAGCTCCGCTTGGACACCCCATCCATCCCCTCCGCCCTGCAGGGGCGGCACGAGGAGCCCTGCAGAGAGGAGAGGCAGGAGGGAAGACAACAGCAGGCTCCGAAGCGATGCAGGCCAGACCGCTCAGCAGCAAAGGCCACAGGCTTCACCACTCTCCTCTCGGTGCTGATGGTGGGGCGTTATCAGGGCTGCCTTACAGCAGCAGCGCTAAACCTTCCTCCCTGGAATCGTACTGAGATGTATTTATAACCCGGCGGGGCTTGCGAAGTCACCATCCCGGCAAGCCGAACTGGAGATAACCGCGGGGAAGAGCTAAAGGCAGAGATCACATGTCTGCGGAGGGCGGGTGGGAAAAGTTACACCTATTTGATAACCTTATTTTTTAAGGTTATGGCAAGAATGACTGCACTCAAAAGTACCGGCCTTCTGGGAAAGTAACTCCATGTTACTTCCCTACTGCTTCCCCATGTAGGACCAAAGCCTACAATACTTTTTTTTTTTTTTGAGAAATACGTTTATTCAAAAAATAAAATCTGAAATTTTACTCCAAAGAGCAGAACCAATTTAGGGGAGGACAACTTTTGATATGAGTACATAGTGACATAGAAATTATAATAAAGGTAATCTGATGGACAAACACCCATGTCCTTATCAAACTGAATCTGTTCGTTGCTAAATAAAAACACTGAAACAGTTACAAATACACTCATTGCATAGGAGATGACAAATAATGATAGTCACCAATGTCTACATATATGTACAAGAGTGATCCTCATTTTTAGTGTGCAGTGCTGAAACACACTGCTTTCATTAATGTGCTCAAAGGTAGTCATCTGAGTTGTCCTGGAAATTATTCTGTTTGAAGCACTGCAGCAATCCTTTGAAGTGAACTGTTTATGAGATAGATTTTAAAATTACAAAATGAACTTCTCAAATACTAAAATCTTACTTAAAAAGAAAAAACTCTTTGCCATGCTTTAGAACTAATTCTATCACTTTAGTGGACCACTGTATTAGCCACTCTAGACAGAAATATCAGGAGCTGTAGAAAAGAAAAAAGAAAAAAGAACAAAGAACAGAAGATATGTCTACGGATTCATCCCAGTTCCTTACAAAGATAACCTTTCCCTTCATAAGAATTATACTTCTGAGAACTGCTTTTTGAAGCACTTTTTAAAGCTTCCAGTTCTACATAGTATTTTTGCCCAAGAGCAAACTTCCAATACCACAGCTAACTTTTTAGAGTTCGTGCTTGCTTGTGCTCACACAGCTCCTTGAAGAGGGCAGCCCGCCCTCACCACCATCCCCAGGACGTGCGCGCTCGATGATCCACAGTCACCCTTTTCTACTGCAGACTAACACCCTATGGGTACTCACTGTCCGTAAGAAACCACGTTTAGGCAGTTTTAGCTTCTTCTGACTATATGCAGCAGATCTGTTGACTATCAAAGCTTTCCAAACCTTAAAATGTTAGGTTATTTTTTATGCTATTCTTGTAATATTCAATATTCTTTCTAGGATGTTCAATTTGCAACAATATTTGAGTAGGACGGCACTGTCACTGCTTTCCCCCTCTCTATCAGTGCACAGGCAAGTAAATGGCTGTGATACCTGATATTATTCTGATCTTATTGTGAATCATCTGTGCTCAGCCACACACTTCCCCCTTCTCCAAGGCCCTGAGTCACAGTTTCTTTCTGTTCTTTCCACCAGAGAGTGCGGCTCAATGCAACCCGCCTCTGTTAGTCCAAGGAGCAAAGGAACAAGTCTGGTTGTAAACCAAGATATATATTAACATGACTAGACTCTCAGCTGTTTATTTGATTCAGTGTTCCTTCAGGTATACGAATAGATGAAGGAAAATAAATGGGTCAAATTAAACCTTTGCATAAATTTCACTGGAATAGAAAATGCCTGTATTATTACATACATTATCCAAACATTATCCAAATCCAATCCAACCTATTTTACTCCTAAAGCTTCACCCATATTGATCTTGGATTTGTTCTCCTGGATCATGCCATCAGCAAAGAAAAAAACCAAAACAAAACATAATCCCTTCTGCTGAAGTACAGCTCCACCTAATGCACCTCAAAATAGCTCAAATATCAGTTTAATTTAAGAAAAAATGCTTGGCCTTGGATGCCTTTCAAGGAACACAAACACATCTCTGGGGAGGGGTTGGGGGAGTGACAGTTTCACATCCTAGGAACCAGCCAAGTTGCACTGTGACAAACAGTAAGCACGGCTGCTAGGAACACAGTTATAGCAGTTTCACAAATACATTATTTAGAATCAAATAGAAATGGACAGACTTAAGCACAGCAATTATAGTTAGTAAAGATGAATAAACAAGGATTTTTGCTCGTTTACTATGAATAAGATGGCATTTTTCAAACATACGAAATTGCTTCTGGAAAGGTAATAAGTAACTCCACAGCTTTTTCTCAGGCAGTTTACTATGCTCACTGTTAAGCATTTAGGAGCATAGTACAGGTAACTTTCCTAATAAGCAATTATTTCACTGTGGCATATTCCTAGAATATTATTTCAAGAAACAGATCAGGTGGCACAGCAATGCTTCCTTCCAAACCAAAATCATTCTATTAGCCTTTTTAAATAAGATAGCTACAGCTGCAGTTTATCATCAAATGCCTCAACAATCAGCAATAGCAAAGCACTTAGGCTAAAAAAAAAAATTACTTTTAAACAAATCAAATGGGAGTTTGCACTCTTCCAAAGCGAGCCTTCCAGGACACACAACACAGAAGGAAAGGTTGCCTCAACTCCGATCTGCCCTTGTCCATGAGGAGGGTGATCTGGAAGCTGCCGCAAAGTTCCAAGTGCTTCCTGACCACCTCCTGCTTCCCCTCGGAGTCAGTCCTAAAGCGAGTCCCAGCAAGGACAGCTCTGACGTGTAAGTCAGAAGGGAGGTTTAAAGCCTCTGGCAATGGTTACAGGCTGAAGCCTCTAAGCTTCACTCCCAACTTGCCCCGGCTCTAGTGTGTTTGTTACATGCCTGAACTAAGGGCACCTGCTGTAACCAGCATCAGCAAGGCAAACTGAGCAGAATAGTAAGAGTTTCCATGTACTGCTAATGGGGCACTACATTTCGAGCCTTTAGTCTTTGGAAAAACACTAATAGAGGGTTCAGCAGGTGTAATGGAGCCTTATCTAAAGCGTCAAATATTTTACTACGCATGAAGCAGCCTAGTGTGGCGAGAACTTTGTTTTAACTTTCAGCAATGGGTGAGAGGCTGCTGGAGGGGAAGTCAGCAATTCTGACACCAAAGCCAGTAAGTCAACATAGTTCAGTAGAGGTGGAATCAAACCGGCAATTTTATCAATATTTACATATTCTCCATAATAATATAAGTACACAGATTTAACATCTGTAATGAACATTCAAAATACTCAAATCTACCACTGTGTGCAATGTGTTTCTGTAACTCTTCTCAGCTACAGCAAATGTGTTTAATAAAGAACACACACACGCACATATTCTTCAAAAGTAGTGCCCGCTCTCACAAAACCRCTTATCAAGGTTCATACTGTGGACCAAAGGCAAAGGTGAGAAGGGCATTTCCTTGACTGCCAGCCTGCCATTCCCCCTTGTTAGCTCAGGCTAAATACATTTCAAGTTACTTCCAATCAACAAGAACATTTCTAATGTGTTTGTATTTGGCAGTAAGGAACTAACACTGTCATGAGCAGAGCTGTGAGTTACCCACTAAAACAAAAGCAAAACACATTCTACAGTGCTGTGGATTAACACACATGCAGACAATCTTAAGAAGTTGATACCAGCACCTTCCTCGACTCGCTACACTACCTTCCCTCTCCCATGCTGCTCCTCCACCTGCCTGCTTCTTCCACCCCAGTGGCCTTTGCTTCTAGCACTGCACATGGGATCCGAAAAAATATTTTCAAAAACTACAAACACTGAAAAGCAAAGACACTTTTTAAGGTACAAGCTACATGCATGAAAAATAYACTTAAAATTAGGTGGCTTAAAAGTTGCCAATAGTCATTACATCACTTCTCTTTCTTCAACTTTTGTAGCAGAATTTACATTTCATTTCTGTAGTAGAAACTATGTTAACTACCAATTATACATTGGTCACAATAGCTTGACSCAGCATTTAAAATCCAGCAAAACAGGAAAATCAATTACTAAGCTGGAAGGCAAGAGGGGAATCAGCAAGTGGTGTGGTAATTTTGTTGTTGCTGCCTGGAAGATCTCCTGTTCATAGGACTGCACACACCCCTACATAAGGGCCTTTGTTCCCAGTTTCACAGACCATGCTTCTCCAGAGACTSGAATGCATCTGTTTGCAATATAACTACAACTGTTGTCCAAGGCAAAATTACTAATGCTTACACTTCACTTAAGAGTTATATCAAATTTATGCCTTGCAGGTTTTATGAAATCATATCAGACAGTGCTAAGGAAAGTTAAATTATTCATAAATTTACTAYTTTATCATTTTCTACACAGTATGTTTAGCAGATCACTGATCTGCACGAGCAAGGATTAAATACTCAGCTCCTGCTGTGAACATCACTATTGAGTGCACTGCAATCAGAGCTGTTACAGGAAGCTGTTACAAGATGCACAAACCATTTTTAAAATATTCAAGCAATATCCCACTCAACTGTAATACTGCATGCACTGAAAATGAGGAGGGAGAAGAGGAAGAAACCTCCAAAATACTCACCTCTTATAAAAAAATSTAGAACTTTAAAATTCTGTTTAATTAAATTAATTTTTATGTTTTGAACACTGAGGGAAAAGTGACATTCATTGTAATAATACCTAAGCATTGAACTTTAATGGATGAAAACAGTGGAAGAGGAAAAAATATTGTATAGATACTTACAATGTGTAAGAGCTTTAGCACGTCCACAAACCTACCAAAAAGAAGAAAAGGCAAATAATTATATTTGAAATACACAATTAAAATAAATTGAGGAGGTGTTACATTTAGAATTATCACTTACACTTTCTCTGAGCTCATGATYTCCTTGGCAATATGGTAAACTTTTGTCTTCTTCCCAGCTGCCTTATTCTGCAAATAAAATGATAAGTTATACTATGCACACCTACTAAAACTGGAGTAAAGATAATTTCAGCCTAGTAGTTTCTCAACTTCAGTGTAGCCAGGCACTAGGTATTTTCAACAAAAGTATTTTATACTTCTTGGAAATGTCCTGGCTTTCCAGGATCCATATGAAATTCAGTTTAGCTTTTATACAGGAACAATATTAGCTAAAAATTAGTTTTCATATAACTATCAGCCTTCCTATTACTACAGGAAGCACTGAAGCATATRATGAATAAGCCCTAATATGTGATAGCTATTTGTTATTGAAAAGAGTAAAACATGAATAATGTATACAATTTACTTCTTTTTTTTTCCTGATTAATACAGCAACCTTAGCATATGCAGAAGGGACAAATGGCTTTCAGGAACATCTTACAACAAACACAGACTTTCGGCAGAAGATGAATGGAAAAAAATATCACATAGAACAGAAAACAAAAAATCAACATTTGAAAGTCTATTAAAAAAGTAGCTGGATTCACGTTCGCCTAGGTAGCAACCACGCTGGAAAACGACTGAATTTTGCTCGCTGCAAGCTGAGGCTCTGTGTAAGCGTAGCTGACTTTTGCTCGTGCACATGACAGCTTGCATAGRTCAGCACTACTGCTCACCAGCCCGAAGGAGCAGGTATAGCAAAGCAAACGGGGACAGCGGTCAGGATGCAAATACGTTTTTACACGAGCGCAATTCCATATGTCATTTCCCTCGGATAAATAAGACCTCTCTCTATAACAGCACTCATGGTTAACCACATGCGTCTCAGCTGCCAGCTGGCGCTCTATTATATATTTAGGCTTTCCTTTCACTGGGCTTCAAAGGAAGAGCGTGGCTGAGCGCAGGATGTCGCCAGGCCCATCACACACATGCCCTGGAAGCCCCAGCGAGGCCGCACGGACCGTGGCAGCGCGGGGCAGGCGCTGGGCACTGCCTGCCACAGCGGGCACCAACACATTCAGAGGATGGCTCTGATAACTCTGATAATGCGGTCACATTAATCGAAACTTTAAAAGGAATCAATTTCATTTTTAATTGAGTAATTCAGCATTGCATCAATTATACGGAAAAGACAAGACAGATTTTATATTCTATAAATACAGCTACGCACAAAGCTGGGATTTTCTTTATGGAAGACTCCTCTTCATGCCTTAATGCCTTTTTAGAAAGCACAGCTGATACATCCACCATGAGACTGAATTTACAAATAAGGCAGATACACAGAGTGAGGTATCTGCCATTCATCGCACAACTGAGAGCTGCTACCCAGCTGAAAATCGGTGTTTCAGGAATTAGATGCTAATGCCAAACAATTACCRCATGAACTATCGCCGCCGCTTTCAACCTCACTTGAGAGGCTTTTCACAAACCAGCTGGCACCCAAAAGGCCGCTTTGTMTTCGTTCAAAGACACTCTGGGCCTAAAAAAGCCTAATCTGGAAACTGAAAGGATATAAACTGGGCTTTCTGCCTGTACACGCTGTATAGGAAGGAACGYTTTAACTCCTTGAATGGACAAAAGCATCAAAACAGCCAGATGCCTGTGGCAAAACTAAACAAAACCAGCTGACCACCAAGGCAGAGAGGGTTTCATTTTCCCCCGCAGCTGCAGAAAGTGTAAGGAAGTCTTAAGCAAGGCCAGATCCCCGCTGATCTCCCGCTGCCAGCTCCACGTGCCGGCTGCAGGAAGCGGAACAGCAGATGCTTCACAGCAACTTCTGAGTTACTTGGTGGCCAAAGTGCGTTCCAGCAAAGCCGAGCAGCTTCCTAGGGGATCTCTTCCCATAAAACTGTCACGAGAGATTGAGGACAATTCTAGAGACACACAAGGTAATGTTAGCTCAGAGGCAGATACTATTCTGGTTCTTTTCACAGAAACAAGCTTTTCTCTTGGCTCTCTTTCCCTTCCCCAATTTATTCCTCACAGAAGATTTGATTAAATGAATCTCTGTTTCAGCATGCTATCTAGAAATTCACATCAGACACAGCACCRTTAAGTCCTCCTCCACCTTTGAGAAGTCTCATTGCTATCTTTAAAAGAATGAAACAAAGAACACAAATATATCTGATGTAACCCTCTAAGATCAGAGGAAACCATTCTCTATCTGAGATGACATTACATGTCATCAAAGATGTTAGGACTATTACTGAGGAAAGGAAAAGACTTTACAGACTTCACAATTTACAGGACTGTACACCCTTAGGTTTTAAGAAAATAGTAATTCCTGAGGAGTAGGCTTGAACCTGCAGTACTGTTTAGAATAAAATGCAAAATTAAGTTCTATATTCCCGCTCCCAGTTTGAGGAAGAGAGAAAGAAAAAAAGAAAAAGCGCGAGAAAGGGAGAAATAAGATTAAGATGGGACAAATCATTCCAATCCAGCAATCCCAGGAATCAGCAGAAGGTCATATCTCGGCCATAACAGCTGGGTCCTTCACCTCTCCGAGGGCCATGGAGGAGACCCTACTACCCTCAGACCTCACTGTGCTGCCTCAGTATCAATCAATATCAAGCAAGGAACAGAAACACTGAAAAGCAGGATTCGCCCCGTGTGTATTCTGGCCATTTGAAAAGGAAGAATAAAAAACTGGTTAACAGTCGTGTGCATCCTGTGTCCAGCAGAGAACTGGCAGGCTTGCAAGGAGAATACTTGAATGCAGGAAGGCTGTCCGCAGACATGGAAGTGGTTGTTGGAACAGAGCCTTCACTTCGTACAGCCAAATCCCCCACGAAACAGCACAGCATGAACAAAGCTACAACTACCAAGAGATTTTCGGAGGGACCTCTTCACACTCTGCATCAGTCATCTGGTCCCTTCACTTGGGCTTTGCCAATGCTGACAAATGAGTTAACTTCAAATGTTCGCTGCACAAGAGACATGGTGCCCTCTAGGATCCCAGAGGAGAAGACAGCCTCATTTCAGAGCATTTCCAGGATTGCTTCAACCCAAAATCTCTAAATATAAATCTATGCATGTAACTTTGTATGAAAGGGGCTTGGTGGGTTAGTCTACARCTCCACAGCTCGGCAAGAGGTTAAGCATGAACGTGCCAGGCAACACACACTTTCTGGTAGYGGTATGTCTAAGTTTTGTTTCCTGGTGACCAGCTAGCATACACATACTAAAACTTTCGGAAGAAAAAAAGGAACTACAAGATTAGAAAAAAAAAAGTATCTGATATTACTTTGATTCAATGCMTCATTCAAAAACAAACCAACCTTTTTTATTGTTATTGTTTTGTTTTGTAAACAAAGCAGCATTAGGGTAAGCAACAGTTTCAAGAAATAAAAAGACACCTGTTTATCTTCCTGAGGATCCAGCTCCCCTTTGCTGGAATCAGAATTTGTGTCATCATCTTCATCAGAACTATTCATGATATCCTCTTCATCTGACTGAAGATCTCCCATCACCACACCAGGATGATCATGGTGCTCTTCTGATGTCCTACAAGGAAAATGTAGTTGATAAATATAGTGACCTTATTTAAATAAAGAGCTTGTTTATCAAATAATAAGCTAAAGAAATACATCAGAGATGGCAATGTTAGAACTGTTTTGTCTAGTTMATTCTCAGATCTTAAAAATGCAGAACATTTTGTGATTAAAAGTCCCCCATCCCATGCAAGGGATGGGCCCCGTCCAGGTATCTGTCCAAGCTCTATCTTGCTCTATTGCTGCAACATGATTATAGAGATCTCTCTTTCCATTAGCTTTAGACACATTTGCAACTAAATTTTCATGAGACAAGCACACAAACCTCTTCCTCTAGCTGGCTTTGACACTTTTAGTAGAGATCTAAGAAACGCATTTCTAGAAGAAAATAAAAGGGAGAGAGTGGGTATGGAAAGATAATGACAAAAACGACCAGAGAAAACAGCTTTGAAAATTTTTGATGAAGTCACATAGAAACACAGTAAATCCTTGGGCTCCTACCTTGAATCGTGGGAACATCTGATAACTCCCAGTTACAACAAAGYAGTGTCTAAATCCATAAACAGATATGCCAAAGCCTGCAAAGATGCTGAGATGCCACAGGCTTGTTGTGATACAGGAAACAAAAGGGATTAGCCACCCTATGAAACAAAACACAAATCCAGAAACCCGCCCCTCAACCTGTCTTCGCCAGCACAAATCTCMCTGTGCTGGTCAAAACCTAATTTTGTGCAGCAGCTTAACATCCGTCAGGGCTAGCACAAATAACCTGGACCACGTTATTTGTATTTTGCCAGCTTGAAATTACATAAAGCAATGAGGGGGTGAAATTATTGAGACTCACTACCTCTGAAGGCCACAGTCACCAGCAAGTAGATATGCTCATGGGGACACCAAGGAAAGTGACTGTCAGAAGCCTCTTCCCAAACACAGTAGTTAAAGGCTCCCAGCTGCATGAGGATGCTCTGCATGCCATGGTGAGGTGTCAAGTATTCATTGCTCAAGGCAGAGTTAGACAAAACAAAAACCCACCTACTCACCCCCGGAAAACACCCATACATCCCACCACCCCGGGAGCAAATGCTGATCACAAGTGGAATATATTCARAGATGAAGACAAGATAAGCTGGCAGACTTTTGTCAGCCGCAAAGAYGTGGAAATGTTAAAATAGCTTCATTCTAATAAAATGACACAGGAAAACCTAGGGAAACACCCAGTTCTTGTCACCCCAGAGYGAACCTGGGCTCAGGGGAAAAGGCAGCAAGATCCTCACTGAATCCAAGCAAGGAGCCGGGAAGGGGCTGTGGCACCAGGTACTGCAGCCCCAAACCAGCCACCTTTGCTGAGCACCACAACCCACGACGTGTTCCAGGGACAACCTCACATGGAGCCACCAGGAGCTTCCAGAAGGCAAGAGGCGAGCGCAGATTTGCACAGGAGCTTTGAGAGCCAAGAGGACTGATCCACCACATCTTATAACACCTGCTCCAGCAGCCAAAGCTCCTCAGGGAAATCCYTGTAAACCCTTGCAGTGTCTTCACTACCACCGTGCCAACTCTGCAGCCCTGGCACCCACAGCCTAACGCAGCCCTCAGGTTCTTCCACTGCATATGGCCAACCTTTTTTTGTTTCCCTTTCCCCATTAAGGAAAAAAAAMCCACACAGCCAATTCAATGATTCATGATTAAAAGTCAGAACACGYCTAGAAATTCCCCCAAATCAACTGACTTTGCTGTTCAGGAGCTGTAGGTAACACTGCAGGAATGGGTAGACCTGCTCCTGCCGATACCTGCAGCTTTGCTTTGAGACTCCAGGACACCCTGGATTTTCTGGGATCTCCATCAGTCTTTACCAACTCTATGTTGGAGAAACATTCCTGAATCTTTCATCTTACTCTTTTGTCACAATTATGGCGTTTCTGTCCTAAGTAGAAGCAGTGTTGTATTTACTGATTAGTCTTCCTGTGCTTTACTTAAGTCATCTAGACCATAAACATGTATGAGATCTCTAAGAATTATTTCTAGGCTGTCAAAGTCCTTGCATCCTTTAAATTTGGAAATAGCAGTAAAACTTTAAATAAATGAAGACTTTTTTTCTACCATGTATCAATTCCCCTCTTCCAAAGCACCCTAGGCATGCTGTAGAGGGTTATTTTTTAAATAGCTTCTTAAATTTCAAGCTATCCTCAGARTATCTATTTCTATTCTGTTTGCTCCCTCTTCATCGCATATTTTGTCCTACCCGCAGCACCAGTAAGAGAAACTTCTTCATTACCAGTCATGTGAAACAACATCACTGCCAACTCACCGCACTGCCCRCTGAGTAAGAATATCTTGTCATATCATGTGAGCCAGTTACCTAAATATAGATGTGGGGCTTTTTTAATTTGACACACAAAATTAWGAGTGCGTGAATTTACTACATAATGGAGCAGCTTATGGGATGAAATTGTTATGCTATAATTTCCTAATGCTATAGTAAGGTACTAATGAAACAAAAAGTGCTTGTACTAACCAGACATACAGCAAGAAAAATAGTTAAAATTTATACAAGACCTTCTATCAAACTGTTCTGCCCAGGAAAAAGAAAATCCTAGCCAAAACTGCAACAGAATATGATTGTTTTCAAAGGATGGCCAAAAGGACTTATGGTTCCTGACGCATTTAGAAGGCAGTTAGCATTCAAAACCTGAGATGATTCAAAGAGTGTCTGCTACGCAAKGGCTCAACACGAGGTATCTTGCAGCAAATTAGAATTACATCACATGGTAATATCAGCACATCWACTAAAGCAAGTTTCCGCAGCTCCAGAGCATTTAATAGGTCAACACCCTTGACTCCACACCATCTTAAGCAAGACAACATTAGCAAACATTCCCTTGTGCAAACCAGTCCAGAAAGCATAAAGGTAAACTYCACATCACGCCAGAAGCACCTGGGCTGCAACCCATCATACTCAGCTCATAATTTAAACACCAGATTTTCTGAATTTCTGGCCACCAACGGATCTGGCCACCATTCCAGCTCTTACCAAGACTGCCTCCCTTGCTGTCCTCCTCGTGCCTTTCAGCTCRCCTTCAGGCACACCTCAGCCCTGAGCAGTGAAGGAGGATGAACTGCAGCCGGGATCAGGTGCCTAAGCCATCCCGGTCACTCGCAAGGCGCAAGTCACGCTTTGGCTTCAATGACAGGCGCCGGACGGGAGCAGCTGGGAGCGGATGGGAGCGCTCGTGCCAAGCGCCCTGCAGCACCCAGGACGCCGGAGCCGCGTGGGCATCGCGGCCACGCTCGCCCGGCTGCCGACACGGGGACGGGCTGCCCGGCTGCGCACAGGCACCACAGGCTGCAGCTTCCCACCAAAACAGGTGCTTTTGCACCAGGAGAGAGGAGCGCCCTCTCAAACGGGCTTTGCAAGAAGGCAGTTTTGACGTTATAGCACAACGACAATTCGTTGATTTCAACAAGCTCTTGTAGTATTAAGACTAGGTACAATAAAAAAGGCAATGGATGTTATGGAACATGAGAATTAATAATGATTTTGCTTTTCTTTCCATTAAAAAAAAATTAATCCCTCTGAACTGATCARGGTTTCATTGTTTGCTTTTGTGAGCTATCCTTTCACAGCTGATTTTGCTAGAGAAGAGCCTTAATAAACATTTTGAATTTTTTTTAAAGAAAAAAAATTATTTTAAGCATTTTGTAAATATTCCAAGGACACATCAGCACCCACGCATTTTAAAGGAAGTCAAGAACCTTGACTGTCACGCTACCCTGTCAGATGAAGACAGTTTATACAAAGCAGGCTTTGCTTCAGAGCAGCCTGTGCTTCGAGAGCAGTTGCCGCCTCCCGGGCACACGCCTGGGCTTCCAGCACGAGCTCAGGAGACGCTGCCTGCAACTCACTCCTGCCGCCAATGCCTCCAAGCAGCAGCTGCTTCCCGCTGCTTTTCACCTCTCCGCTCCCACCTGGGTGTTGCAGGCAGCAGCGGCACCACCGGCTCGCTGGACACCACCACCACGTTTAGCCCCTTATCTCAGGCCGCTGGCGTCTCCCCTGTGCTCGGCCGAGCACGTCCCCAGCTGCAACGCGGAGCTGC